AATACCTGGATACTCATAGCCTTTTTGTTTGAATCTAATTGGCTTCCTGCAACAAATTAAAAAAAAAATTAATCAAAGCTCACAAAAAATTCAGATAAATAACCCAAGTACAATAATTTTGAATTACTAATAAAAAAAATAAAAGAAATTAAAACCTTTGGAAGGCTTATTCTTCTCCAAATTTTTCTCGCGAGCAGTCTTGGATTTTTGAGCGTTGCCTCCCCCCATTTTTGTGAGAAATCGATGAAAGCAAAACCCTAATTTTCGCAAAATTTGCAGAGAGAAGAAGGTCACCCAAGTTTTAGAACAAAAGAACGCGGTTGGTGGGACCACAATCTCTACTGTGATCCACTTTGATTTTATCTTATTTTTATCGGATTTTTCACCAAATACCACCGAGTTAATGCGTAATTCACCATATACCACACAAAATTTTCTAATTCACCATATACCACTGAGTTAATGTATATTAACACAGAATGCCCTTTTTGTTAACTGTGGTTAGTCTGTCGTTAACGCCGTTAATAATTAAGGTTAATTATGCCACGTGGCTGTCACATATTGGCTCTTATTAATATTATCTAATTAATTAGTTAAATAAAGAATTAAAAAAAAAACAGCCACCACCTCCTCACTCCACCAACCCCGACACCCCCTTCCCCCACCAGCCCAGCTCCCCCTCCCTGCCGGCGGCCTTGCCCAGCCTCCTCCCTCGCCGGCGGCCTTGCCCAGCCTCCTCCCTCGCCGGCCTTCCAGAGCTCCCCCTACCCCTGCCATCTCCCCTTCCCGTCCTCCTCCCAAACCACCAACGTCTCCCAGCCAACCACCACCCTATCCTAACATCCCCTGCTTGCACGAACTATGACTAGAACCCCCATCCACCACCCTATCCCGCCCCCACCCACGCCGGCGCCCAGCCTTTCTCTCGCCAACGCGTCGGCCTCCCTCTCCCCCTGAACCGACAACACTCAAAATCTGCAACCATACAACAACATCAATTCGACTTATCAACATTTTTTTCGAACAAATTCGCTTCTAATTCGACCTTCTCTCTCTTCGTCAAGATTTGATGGGTGGTTTCTTTGCCGTCGATATTCCAATTGGGATTTGCAAGAGGGAAATTGAGGATTTTTTTAGGGTTAGAGAGATCGGGAATCGGGGAAGGGGAGTCCGGCGAGGAAATCGGGAATTGGGTTACAGGTGGGGGATGATTTTCGGGGAAGGGGAGTAAGAGTGGGATGGTCGCCGGCGTAGGGGGAAGGGGTCGAGAATGTCGCCGGCGGGGGGAAGGGGCCAGGGGAGGGCAGTCGCCGGCCATTTGGGAAGTGGCTGGGATCGCAATTGTTGCCGCCAGGGGGATCGATGAAAGTTTGAAGCTTTTTGATTGATTTTGGGGTTCGATTTTAATGGAGAAGAACAGAGAGAAGCTTTAATGGAAAGGGGAAATGGGGGGTCAATTTTTTCAAACTAGAAAAATTATGTTTGGGGGAGTCAACCCTATCAATGGCGCCAGTTAGATGTATAAGGGCATAATGGTAAAGTCCCCCAAACGGCAGACTAACGACAATTAGCAAAAAGGGCATTTTGTGTTAATATACAATAACTGAGTGGTATATGGTGTATTAGAAAGTTTTTGGTGGTATACGGTGAATTATGCTTAAACTCAGTGGTATATGGTGAAATTTCTGTATTTTTATACTCCTCCGTTTCGTATTAATCATAACATTGGAGTGTTTACAAAGTTTAAGAAAATTTATAGGGTGAGACTCAAAAGAGGTTATTTTATAATATAAGATATTGTCCAAAAGAGGACATTTTATAATATAAAGTACTTCCTCTGTTCTTTTTTACTTGACCTATTTCTTTTTTAAACTGATGGTTGAGGCCCAAGATGACGTTTTATACTTTATCACGCCCCCTCACACCACTTAAAAGTGGGGGTGGATGAGATTTGAACTCGTGATCTCTATGCCACGTTGGGTCCGATACCATGTTAGAGGACCAACTCAACCAAAAGCTTAAACTGATGGTTGAAGCCCAAGATTATGTTTTATACTCTATCAGTATTGTTAGTAGGAAAGAGAATTAATCAATAACTATATACTAAAAGACATACCAGCAATGACACGTGTCGATTTCTGGTGTGTTCTTAGTATATTTTTTTAATAATAAATTACTAAATTTTATTTAAGGAAATTATTTTTTTTAAAAAAGTTTGATTTTGTCAACTCTATAGATGAGCAATAATAATTACCATTTTTATATTGATACTCAATTAATTACGAAATAATAAGGAAATATATAATTTTTTTCAAGAAGATGTATTTTTGGTGGAATAAATTTTAAGAATATGATCTTGATCAAATATTCCATGTTACTTCAATTTTGTACAAGATATTAAACAATTTTTATATTTTATGCTATAAATAAATTAATTTGTCAAAAGTATTTAAAATAACTTACCGTGCATGGCACGAGACCTAACCTAGTAAAAAAAAAAGTAGTAAAAGTGGAGTTGGTATGAAAGAGTAATAATAAAATATTTGTGAAAGTGGGGTTGGCGAGAGAGAGAAATTATAAAATTGGTGGGTTTATTCCATATATATAAAAGTGTTGCAATTAATATGAAACGAATGTAAAAAGAAAGTGTTACGATTTATATGAAACAGAGAGAGTAGTTATTTTTTGCATATTGACTCACCCAAATAATATGCGGTTGTGCCCACTTGCTAATTAGGGTAATGGGCCAAACAATTATCAAATTGAGATTTTCAAATACTCGTACATATCCATGGCCATATTATAACATTTTCGTAATAGCTAACACATTTTAATTGACACAAATTTAAGAAAAGAGTCGGAGTTAATTGATTCTATTGAATAGTTTATGGTGAAGAGTGTACGATAATTTTATGTTCATAGAAGATATGCTTGTGGGAGGAGAAAGATAGTGAGTGAGATAGGAAATGTGTCAATTATTCAAGAATGAACACAAAGTTGCTGAAAATATTAATTTTACTAATTTTGTGCCCAACCACTTACAAAATAAATTTTTTTATTTGTTTATGTATGTTTACAATTATTAAGAGAAAATAGATAAAAGAGCATATAGGAAATTAAATCGAATTAGAAGGCTAGAAGCTATGCCTTCTCCTTAGAATATACTTGTATAATATACGTAGTAAAGTAGTACAGTAATTCATAGTCAAAAGCATCGAGCTACACCTCAGCCTCGTACAAAAACTATACGAGTCTAGCACATTATTGACTCATTAAGCATAATTTTCATATACTTTACCATGTAACAAGCTTAAGTAAATTTCTCAGATCATAATCTCCCCTTTTAGTTGGATTAAAAAAAAAAAAAAAAATGAAGTACACATTGGATGTAGAACGTTGTCAGCTTTAATTTGTTATTATTTGGATCGTTGGTCAAATTCTATTTTATAATAACATACTTGCTACATTTTGTATACATAATCTTGATGTTTGCAGACGGTTTAAGTGAGATACATCATTTTATCTAGTTATCTTATACGTACATGTTGAGCCTAACTTTTTAGCAAACAAAACATACATTAAAAATGGCTAGAATGAATTAACCATATCATCTAATGTTCTCAAAAATTTCATTATTTGTTAAATTACTACAATGTGTGTGATCATGTAATTTTAGTATTTTACTTACATCTCTCTCATAAATCATAAAGATTGGCAACTATATATAGAGACTAATCAAGCAAGATCATAACCACAATAGCTACTATGAAGTCGTAAAGATCATCGCTCAAGATCATCACCAAAAGAAGCAAAATCATAAAATAAATAAATAAATAAATAAACCATGAAATTAAAGCTTCTTTATGTTGAAAATAATCAAAAGATAAAACATAAAAACAAAAGTTTGGGTGGGTGGGAAGGAGAAAGGGCTCAAAAGAGATAAAGGATACTGTTTTTGAGTCAGCCATTCATAATTTAAAATATAACAGTACACATGTAAGCAATTATAGGCCATCATCTTCAAATTAAAGTTGTGCATGTTAAGGATCCAACAATCTTTTCCTATGAGACCAAACATTGTAGTACAAATATTAAATATACAAAGTACCAAATAATAAATCATGTGTAGCCATAAAACTATCAAGTATGAATACATAATGTTTTATAAACATCACGTTGGAAATTCGACTATACAAGTATGCATGTGTTGTTCTATTATCAACTATGTAATACTTGATTGATTATACTTTTTAATTTACGATTTTATAACTTATACTCCTATCACAATATAAACTTTTCATTTCTTTAAAGCATGTAGTTTTACTAAATGCAATAGTAGTGCAATACTTATTGGTAATTTTTTTTTTTTTTTTTATTTATTTATTTTTTCTTTAATTAAGGTGAGGGAAAAAAAGTAGAAACCATTATAATTAAAATGTGTAGAGAAAACATGAATTGAAATTAATAAAAGATGAAAAAAAAAAAAAAACTTGTACGTATAGAGAGTATATAAGTAGATTCAATTTAAGGAAGAAATGAGAAGTTTTTCTTGTAATGTAGTTTAAGCCCTTAAAGAAAAATGAATTGAACATATATATATTTGGCTCATTTTGTCAAAAATTAATATTTATTCTTTACTAATTTGTCAAAAATGAGCAAATAATTTGTCAAAATGAGCAATTAATTTTTTGCTCATTTGTCAAATGAGCAATTATTTTTTGCTCATTTGTCAAATGAGCAAAAAAATTCAATGCTCCTTTGTCATATGAGCAAACTATTTAATGCTCATTTGTCAAATGAGCAAATGATTCTGGCTTATTTTGTCAAATTAATGCTCATTTGTGAGTATGTTTGAATGTTTTAAATACGTTAGCCTACTAGCTCAAGGGTAGAGCATTGTGCAAATGTACAAAAGATGTGGGTTTGAATCCTACGTAGGTTTATTTATGTAATGTGGAGACACAAGTTTGTATGAGAGTTTAATTGTAACAAAGTTTATATAGTTATAAATCATTTCAAACCATTTATATGCTCATATAATTTAGTATGAATTTGATTATTTTTTTTAATTAATTTTGTTTATAGAAATAACCTATGTAGGAATTGAACCTACATCCCCTATGCATTTGCATCTACCATTTGAGCTAATAGGTTTATCATATGGTCTCTGTTATTCCCAATACACGCCAAGTTGACTTCAAAAGCTCAAATATCTCTTCCACTTCCTGTATTACAGAAGGGTTATTGTTAACATAAATGTATTCAAAAAGATATGCATTATACCAGACAATTCAAAAGATCAAACCAAAGAGAAATATTTGGTAAACTAAAAGGTAATCAAGTGACACGCTACATTTATAAGAAATAAATTAAATCAACTATCTCAATAAAATATGGTCTCCATTCAACTCAAAGATTCTACATGAGTATGGTTGTATAAATACAAATAAAGATCATCACCACCTTGCTATCCTAAAGGAAATGCCAGAACTAAAAGAAATGGACTACTCAAAAAACAACACATATATGGCATTAAGTAGTGAGATTCTAAAGAGGGATTTTCACAGATAAACACCATAAACATAACAGATAATGATATCATTATTAATACAGCATATTGCATATAAACTTCAACTGTCACTGCAATACAATGAATACATTCTAATTAAGTTGCTATATCCAAACACAGGATAGAAAGCGTATAATTACCTTTTTAATCGAACATTTCTGAAAAGCTTCTGTGCAGCAGCCCTGGTGAACATCTTGAAACCACACTACAGGCATACAAAACCCATGATAAGATAAACGCCACACTGCTATTCTGCCACCACGGCATCTGAAGCCTCCACCGCAATGGACAAACATAAAAAAAAAAAAAAAAAAAAAAAAAAAAAAAAAAAAAAAAAAAATCAAAAAGTTTACTCATTATGCAAATAAATTGAAACAAATTCATTAACCCATCAATAAATTTACAAATCCCCTAACCAAATATCAACTCTAAAAATGCAAATAAACCATAAATCTAACCGATTCAAAACAATCAAACATAACCCTAACAGTTCAGAAATGCATATAAAAGATGAAATTTGAAAAAAATAAAACCAGATCTAAATTCTTACCTAAAATAAAATTAGATCTGAAAAACGCTGATGGTGCTCGGTGGGTGTCACCTCGTCGGTGTTGTTGTTGGTATTGCGTTGTTGCTTGGTGGTGCTTGCTCGGTGAGTCGGTGATGCTCCGTGGTTTGCTGTGTTGGGGGCTGCTCGATGGGTTTGTTGTCGGTGTTGTTGCTCGCGTCGGTGGGTTACTGAGGTTGTTGTGGCCAGTGGTTGTTGTGTTGATATATATGTATATATATACACTGATGGTCAAAGAAGTGTCTTAACTTAAACAATAAAGATCGCATAAAATGAAATATATACAAAGTATACACTAGATTATAAGACAAAGAGAGTACTCCAAAATCAATAGATCAATTTAAATAGAATTTTAGATGTAACTAAATTAAATATTACGAAAATTAGACAAAGGCCTTGTTTAGTAAAGAGTTTTTTTTGGAGAGTTTTTAGCTTATTTGAGTCTATTAGAGATTTGACAAAAAAAAAAAAAAAAAAAAAAAAAAAAAAAAAAAAAAAAAACACTAATTTGTGTGGTAGGTAAATAGCTTATTGAATGAGCTTTTTAGGCTCAAAAAGCTCTTATTGATTTGTAATTAACTTATCGAATATTTAGCTTTTTTAATTACTCCGTCCGTTTTCATAATAATCACACTTTGACTGACACACATGTCAATGCAAAACTTTGACCATTAATATTTATAATTATATATTAATGAGAAGTATAAAAGGTTAATATAATGAAATTATACGAAGCTTAATCCAAGAATATTTTACATGGTCTTGTCAAAAAAAAAAAAAAGTTATTTTACATGGCATCATATGTTTCTTGTATATTGATAAAATGTATAGTCAAAGTAATCATATGAATAATGCCAAAGTCAAACTATTGTGATTATTAAGAAACGAAAATAATATTACATATATATATACATTGGAACAAATAATAAATAACAACTATTTACCAAACATTTTTACAAAACTAACTAGTCAAATCAATTAATAAAACTAGTTATATCAATTACAATAAGTATTAGCTACATATTACCAAATAGGGCCAAAATAGAGGTGTTAAAAAATTGGGTCGGGTCTAACATTATATGTGCCCAACTCCGTAAAAAAAGTAACGGGCTTGTCGGACCAAAGCGGGTTTTTTGGATTTTTTTGGACCGGATTCGGGTTTTTAACTAAAAACTAGCTTTTGACCCGTTCGATGCACGAGTTGTTACTTAGGTTATTTTTCTTGAAATGTGTTGCATATTTGTGTTGTATGTGTCGATGTTGTTTTAGAGTTTAATAAGGTATATATACATTATGCATATCGTGGGGTATATATGAAATGACATATTGATTTAAGTTATATTTTAAGTTTAGGAGATGAAAAGACTATTTTATTGCTTATATAATGTGCATTAATTAGTTTAGCTTTAATTTATTATTTTGGAAATGAAACATTTCATTTTCTTACTTAAATTTGCAAGTTTTGGAATGCATAAAGACTTAAACATTATTATTATTATTATTATTATTATTATTATTATTATTATTTTTTCTTAATGAACTTATTTTTACTGAATTGAACTGAACTTATTTTAAAAGAACTGAACTTATTTTTGCTGAATTGAAATTATTTTTACTGAATATTATTTTTTTAATGTGAAGTGAATAGGGCCTAAGTAAAGATTATAAATAGATGTGTTTTGTAATTTGCCCAAATCCGCCCTATTTTCTTATCGAATCGAACCGGACCGATGTTGATCACATCTAGGCCAAAACCACCTTATTTGCGGAGAAATGGAACCTAGCCTTAGTGAGGTTCCTAGTTCCTACACTAGAACAAATGTGAATCTAATCCCTTTTTACAACCTTTGAATCAGATCCCCTTCTAAACATTTGAAAAAGTAGATAAATTTAAATAATACTAACATCACAGACTTAACCCCTAAGCTTCTCTATCTCTCCACCGCCTATAAAAACGTGTCACCCTCTCAACCCCAAAACACCAAACAAACTCATTTCATCCCATTCCATATTTAGCTAATAAATAAAATCAAAATTATTCATGGAAGAAGAAAGAGAATTGAAAATGGTTGAAGGAGGTGAAATCTTTTACGGCCTAGATTTCTACGTCTTACCTGAAGGTTGCATCGCTGCCGTTGTTTCCTACACTAGTCCTCGTGATGCGTGTCGTTTCTCTTCCATTTCTAGAATCTTCAAGTCTGCTTCTGATTCTGATGCTGTTTGGGAGAATTTCCTGCCGTCCGATTACCGTCTCATTCTTTCGAGATCCGACGGTGCTCTTTCTCTCTCCAAAAAACAGTTATTCATGCATCTCGCTGATAATCCCCTTCTCATCGATGACGGTGCTTTGGTAATTATTTTTATTTTTATTTTCTGGGTTTATATGAATATATTCGTGTTTTTATAATTTATCCATATTAATTGAGTTTTGACGGTGTCTAAACATACCATTGGTTATAATTAATTAATTGTCCAAACGGTCTCCAATGTATCCCTGCTCGAAGGAGATTTCTTAGTCATGTAATCAAATGAAACATTTGGTTGCTAATTAGCCTTTTGAGTTGAACTTTTCACTACTGTTTATGATATGCTTTTTTGCTGGTTATATAACTTCTTTAATTCGTACTTGTTGATAGCAAACTCCAAAAAGCATTGAGAGAAAATAAAAGAAAAAGAAGTTGTCTTTAAAAAAGATGCTAACTTTTATTTCTTTTTGTTTGTATATTTTGTAATTTGATAGTGTATTGGTGTAATACTTTAATATGATAGTGATGAGTACCGCCTTTTGTTGCTTTTGTTTATCAATTCTTTTTCTGGGTTAATGGTTGGACTTGGTAACAATGTAACATGATAGGGTTAAAGAACAAAAAAAAAAAAATAAAAAAATTACAGTGAATAGTTGTTAGTGTGGATTTTGTGATGATGTGGTGCGACTTGTTAAAGCGAACAATTTGATGGATTCAATCAAATAGTTGAGTCTGAGATAGGAGGCTAGAGTAGTTGGTTAGTTGATTAGCGGATGAGATATTTATGTATTTCTGTGTCTAATGTAGTTATTAAACTTTATGTTAACAGAGCTTTTCAATAGAGAAATCAACCGGCAAAAAGAGTTACATTATATCTGCGAAGAATCTGAGCATTGTTTGGGCTGATACACCAAGATATTGGACATGGCATTCTGATCCTAAGTCGAGGTACGTTTATGGTATTCAGATATGTTATCTTTCTCAGTTAAGGAGTTGAGCAGTAGCTTAGCTAGAGGCCGATTTATGGATTTTGTTTCCTGTAAAATGTATGCAGGTTTTCTGAAGTAGCAGAGCTTGTTACTGTCTGCTGGCTTGAAATTAAAGGGAAAATAGAGACATCCCTATTATCTCCAAACACAGATTATGTTGCTTACCTTGTCTTCAGGATGGAGAGAGATGCCTACGGGTTCTACTCCCCGGCTGAGGTTACACTTTTGACTGCTGAAGGCAAACCCGTAACTGAGAAGTTTTATTGGGAGTCCCAGGAGAGGTACCAAATTGTACCCAGGCGTGTTGGTATTTTCAACCAGTTCAGGGCTCCTATGTCAAGGACTCAGTCGACGACTCAGGGAGAGGTTGATCAAGCAAAGCTTCCAAAGCAAAGATCAGATGGATGGCACGAGATCAAAATCGGGGAATTCTCAACTGGCAGAGATGATAATGAAGAAGTGGAGATGGAAGTGTTGGATGTCAAAGGTGGGAATTGGAAAGGTGGTTTGGTTGTTGAAGGAATTGAGATTAGACCAAAAATTGCCATGGAATAAAGAAAGGAGGAGAGTTACAATCAACTACTCACTAGTTATTGTTTTTAATTAAGTCTATTCGTTTATTTCTTATTAGCTTGCTAAATTTCTTGATCAATGACAGATTTGTTGGACGGTTTTATCGTTCTTCACTTCTTCAGCAGCCGTACCATCTTTTTACTGCTTGTTTTAGATCAGAATAAGAACTGTTTTCAAAGAATGGTGAAGCTATTTGTTGTAGTACTCTGTAATGGAAGATATAATTTGTACGATTTCACCTTATGATATACGTAGTACTTCGTACGTTACCGAATGTGACAATTTGCACTCATGTCGATCAGTTGGGAGATTTTGTGTTTTGATTGTTGTGATGAATGTTCATTTTCGATGGTTTGTTGCGCCGGAGCAGCCTCAGAGCTAGAGTCGAGCTACTAATTAACAAGGTTGCTATGCTATCATACTAGCGATAATGCTAAAGGAACATAATTCATAATTAATTTATGGTTCATTTTCCGATCCTCAGAGCTTGAGTCGAGCTACCAGTTAGCAAGGTTGCTATGCTATCATACAGGCGATAATGCTAAAGGAACAGGATTCATAATTTATGTTTCATGTACTTTTTTTGTATTACAATGAAGAATCCATGTAAATCAGTATCACTTATCACCTAGCCAACTTCAATAAGGCCTTTGGATATGATACAATGATAACCACCATTTTTAAAAGAACCTTTAAATGAGTAGCTTAATTTTGCTCCCCCCTTTGTTCGGAATTCTCAAGTCATGCTCTCTTAATATAACTCGTTGAGCCGTTATACTTCTTATTCAAATATTTGTAATCAAACACGATTAACTATATTTGACTAGGTTAAATTTGACACTATAAATTCCAAATATAGCATTTTCTTAAATTCATCAAAGAGCTAGTCATATATGAAGCTTCTACTTCCTCTGTTCCAATAATATTACGAGTACAATAAGGATGAAATTACGCATTTCAAAACACATTTTATATGTTAATATCTATAATTGTATAAGAGTAAAAATTATAAAAGTTGATATTGTAAAAGTATTTTATGAAACGAATCTGACAAGATCCCACATGACTATATTTTGCTTAATGTATAAATCTTATTATATAGTCAAATAAGAGTGATAAATAGTGCAAAAGTTTCTTTGTTGCAATATTATTGGAACGGAGGAAGTATTTGTTAACTTGTTATGCACTATTTGTCAACATAGCTAAATTCTAAGTGTTTGTTTGTTGGAAGATATTTCCCTTGGAAATGGAAATTTCTAGGCAATAGCTAAATTAGTTGTTAAAGTAGTAAAGTGATATGCAAACAAATGGTTTAATATTTCTAGAGAACACAATTCCAATAATATCCTCTTGAATCGTTGTAATGAGCTCACCACTCTATGGAGATTCTTCGAAAAAAATTGGGTGAGTCGGACTCATGGTGAGTCCAACATATCTGACATTAATAATCTTGGATTCACGGTGGTTATTAGAATATTAATATCAAATTTTAAATTATAAATGTATGATATATTGGACTCACAATGAGTCCAGTTCTACATAAAACATTCTCTTTTTATTAAATTATTATGTGTCAAGCTTAGTGTTGCGATAGTAGTGTTGGATAGCCGGGTTAATTGCTCCATATTGTTGTAGGGGGCGTAGGGCATAATGACATGTTACTATGTGAGTGACTAAGGAAATTAGACGGGAAAGAGAACGAGTTGGAGGTTGGACACCTCATGCTTCTTTAACAGCTACAATCCTCTGACTCTTAAGTCGATACGATTTTCTCAAATATGGGGGAATTGTAACATCACTACACCTAATACTGAACGTTAGCAATAGCAACACTTGTTCTACGTACGTGGCAAGTCATGCATATTATATACTCCTTTATTTTATTTTATTTTTTTTAAAAATATCCCATTTTGATTGCGGATATGTCAATGAAACACTCTAACTATTTTTTTTTATGTTTTAAAATAAATTCTTTATTTTAACAAAATCTTTAATTATTAATAAATATAATATAAATAAAAAAATATATACAGTATATCTGAATAGTACATAAAACAAAGTATGATTTGAAACAATGGTAATAAATCTTTAATTATCAATGCGAAAAATTACTAAAAAAGATATGATATATGTAAACTATACATTAAGACGATTCAACAAGAAGAGCAACTCCAATGCCACATAAGCTTTTAAGCTAATTATCATTTGAGCTCCAATGGCTAGCTATTAGCTTACTATTTAAATAAAGCACACCTCCTTAATTAATTTATGTTTTAAAATTTTATTCTAATTTGTTTTATTTTAGCAAGTTTTTCCCCAAGCAAATTAGCTTGGCAGATTAACCTAATTGCATTTTTTAGCTCCAATGGTCAAGTTAATAGCTAGAGATTATTTAATATTACAAGCAAGTCCCTAACTACAATCATTGGAGTTGCTCTAATATCATTATATATATTTTTTTTCTTAAACGAAATTATTTTACCATTTAAAATGGAGTATGTGAATGTATAAAAAGTTAAACTAAGACCCTTAAAATAATATTCAGCACGTTAAAATAATAATTTAACTTTAACAAAAATAATAAAATTAGTTTAGTAAAATTAATTTTAATCATAAAAAATAACTTAATTAAAAATAGAATAAGTTTACTTCATCAAAATTGCAAAGGTTACCCAAAAAAACATACACACAATCACACTCACACTTCACACATTTCATATGTACGTTATTTGCCCTTATGATGAGGTTATCTCAATATTTTTTTTTTTAAAAAGTGTAAGCTTCAGAAGACGAAAATCCTCTTTTTACAGGTCTAACTTAAGTTTTTTTCTCCCTTTCTAGTTAATTGGGATCTTTCTCTCCAAAAAAAAAAAAAAAAAAAAAAAAAAAAAAACCTTTTCATGCATCTCGCTGATAATTCCTTCCTCATCGATGACGGTGCTCTGGTATTTAATTTTGATTTGATTGATTTATTTATATATTTATTTATTTTCCAATTTTTGGGCTAATTTTCTTGTTTTTTTTAATGATTTATTTTGCATGAGAAAAGATATTTTTTTTTTAATTATTTTTTATAGTCATTCAATATTTTGTTACTCGTATAATCATCAGTATCATTTGTTTTTTCATAGTATCCTGTCTCGAACACATCCTTACTTATGCTTATAAACTTGTAAAACTTGTGATTTTGCACGGTCTCCAATATATCAAGATGTGAAATGGTAGTTTATTCTGGAGATTTTTTTAGTTATGTGAGAGATTAGTAGGTAATTGGCTGTAATCATTTGAAATCTTTGGTTCATATATAATCAAGCCTTTGAATTGTACTTTTTCTAAAGATTTATGATATGTTTTTTTTGCTAGCTACATAACTTTCTTTAATTCGTACTTGTTGATTGCAAACTCCAAAAGCATTGAGATCATATGTGTCGCTACTTGTTGTAAGTAACATGTAATGTGTCGCAACTTGTGGTAAGTAACTTGTAACGTACAAACAATAGTTGAGTTTGATATAGGAGGCTAGAGCATTTGGCTAGTTGATCAGCTCTCCGACTTCTAGGTCTGAGGCCAGGGCTAGGGGTCCTAGCCCCTCGGATGCATGTTCCTTCTCCTAATTTAATGAAATATTTATGTGTCAAGTATCTAATGTAGCTGTTGTCAAAAAAGTATCTAATGTAGCTATCAAATTTTATTCGTTAACAGAGTTTTTCACTGGAAAAATCAATGGGCAAAAAGAGTTACATTATACCTGCATCGAATCTGAGCATTGTTTGGGCTGATACACCAAGATATTGGACATGGCATTCTGAGCCTACACCGAGGTACGTTTATGGAATTCAGATTTGTTATCTTTGTCATCAGTAGCTTAGCTAGAGGTTTCTTAATTTTGTTTCCTGTAAAATGTATACAGATTTTCTCAAGTAGCAGAGCTTGTTACTGTCTGCTGGCTTGAAATCAAAGGGAATATAAAAACATCCTTGTTATCTCCAAACACAGATTATGCTGCTTACCTTGTCTACAAGATGCAGAGCGAAGCCTACGGGTTTTACTCCCCGGCTGAGGCGACACTTTCGACTGCTGAAGGCAGACGCGAAACTGACAAATTCTATTGGGAGTCCCAGGAGAGGTACCAAATTGTACCTAGGCGTTTCAACCAGTTCAGGTTTCCTGTGTCAAGGACTCAGCTGACGACGACTAAAAGAGAGATTGATAATCAAGCAAAGCTTCCGAAGCAAAGATCAGATGGATGGCACGAGATCAAGATCGGGGAATTTTCAACTGGCAGAAATGATGATCAAGAAGTGGAGATGCAAGTGTTGGATATCAAGGGTGGGAATTGGAAAGGTGGTTTGGTTGTTGAAGGAATTGAGATTAGACCAAAAATTGCCATGGAATAAAAGGGAGGGAAAATATATCAACTAGTTTTATTGTTTTTATTGCATGATATATATCAATATATGTTACCGGATGTGACAATTTGCACTCAAGTAGATGAATTGGGAGATTTTATGTTGTGATGATGTTCCTTGAATATGAGTCATGTTCCTTAAATATAACTCATTATACGCTATTTAGAAATGAAATTAGTAACACAATTATCTTACTTGACTTGTATGTTAATTAATTTAGACGTGAGGAATTCCAAATCAAAGTCATCGAAGAGCTAGTCATGAAGCTTCCATGCCAAGGGCGGCATTGGATCGATTCAAGAGGATGTTTAGTACGAAGTGAGTTTCAGAGTAATGTCAAACCTTTTACATCTTATAACAAAGCAGCACATTTTACTACTACTACTACTACTAGTGTAAGATGGCCTGGTTGATTATGCAGCAAGTTTCCTAAGCCACTCAGCCAGTGTTACCATTCTAAGGAACTGAAATTTGTGGAGTGGTGATGCAATGCACGATGATATTAATCATTGATGAAGGAAAATTAAAACCAAGGAGAGTTTCACGGATGAAATTCCACTCTAAACTGTAGTAAGCCTTATTTAAGCCCAACTTCTATGTAATTGCTTTTTTTTTTTTTGCTTTATAAAAATTGTGAGCTATTTCCTTTATAATAATAATATTATCCTCTGTTCCTTTTCCTTGATTGAAACTAGATTGAAGGTGGCTTCTTAATATCCAGTACAAGTTTCAACTTAGAAGAAATCAATGTTGTGACTAATATATAATCGTGTTACAAAGACCAATATGTCTAAATTGAGATAAATTAAATAAACTGGGTTTTTTGATTTAGAGAATTAAAGAAATGTAAGATTTATTAAAAGATACTTCGTATTTTAGTAAAAAAAAATGATTTTTAAAATTAATGATTAATTTTTTTACTATTGTATTTTCTACAAAACAAATATTATCAACATTATTATTCCCTTCATGATTTTTAAGTGGTACACTTTGACTGGTACATAGTTTTAGGAGTTAAATAGAGTATTAAAAAATTGCAAAAGAAAAATAGTGAGATTAATAGTTTATTGAAAAGTAATAATGTGAGTGAGAAAAAAAGTAAAATACTTGAAAAAACACGAGTGCATGTAACACTTAAAAAAATGAAGAGAGTATTTTCCATCATCTTTGGTTACGTAGTACAATAAGAATTTAATACGGAATAGGATGTTGAAGACATAACAAAAGCTGAAAAGCATGTTGCTATTTATTGGAAGGTTATAGCTAGAATTAGATATTACTACTCACTCATATTATTACTAACGATTAACATAACTAAGGCTATTCTTAAACTTATTCGGATATTTGCTCTGGGTTAAAACTTATTTACAGACTAGATTAGTTCCCGTGCGGTACATAGATATAATAAAAAAGAATTTATAATTGTGTATATTGTCAAGTTACATTATCACTCAAAACATAAACTAAACTACAAAAGTTAAAATAATGCTTGTATAGACAAAAGAAAATTCATGTCTACAACAAAATTTAGTGGACTTTGTAATTAGACGGAGTGATCATATATATAAAGGGTTAATATTTGCTTTCCTTAATATTAGCTATATGTACCTTAAGATAATATACCGTATAAAAGTACTTTACAATCAATATTAAGCTTTCAAAAAAAGAAAAAAATTGGAAGAGAAAAAATAAAAGTTTAGGCGGGAAAAAATTGAAGAAGAAATTGACATACGTACAATTTGGGAAAAGAGATGATGCACCTAAATTTGCCGTCCACATTAGCTTAGAGTGCATTTTAAAAAAACAAATATATAAAAATAAAGCGATAAACCACTATCTTTAGTAGCGGTTAATAGGATATAAACTGCTACTCTGAATAGCGGTTTTACTATTTTTTACACTACAAAAGAAACTTGAATTTCTCCTTGTACTGCTTTTGTAAAAGAACGTACTCCAACAAAAAGAAATTGAAAGAAAAGTCCCAATCGGGCAATCGGCTGGCCTATGCAGGAGTTGGCCTCCACACTGTCGTGCTTCTCCTGTCAAAATTCTACTCACCGTACAATTGATGGTCCGACCACTGTACAATCTATGACCTGCAAATTCATCTGAATTAAGGTATTAAACCCCAATTTTTATTTTCCAAAATTCAATGTATGCTGAATACTTCTTCCGTTCTATTAATATTGCAACAAGGATGAAATTACGCATTCCAAAACACATTTTATATGCTAAATATCTATAATTGTGTAAGAGTAAAAATTATAAAAAAGTTGATAGTGTGAAAGTATTTTATGAGACGAATCCAACAAGATTTCACCTGACTATATTTTGTTTAATGTATAAATCATATTATAACAAGAGTGATGAATAGAGCAAAAAATCCATTATTGCAATATCAATAGAACGGAGGAAGTATAATTAACTTGTTGGTTGAAAACTTTTTTTTTTGACGGGATGTTGGTTGAAAACTTGAAATTGAGTAAATTAATCTAATTATTCAATTGAAAAGATGAATAAGACTTGATAAATCATTGCAATTGTGCTGCGAGATACTTATATACAAGTGTTGTATGGCCGTTTTGCGGAAAAACTTTGTAAGATTGAGAGTGAGGCGATGATGAGGAGCAAAGCTCTACTTTGGGTCGCTTCTGCATCTTCTTCTTCTTCTTCTTCGCCATTTTTAGGTAAGCTTCCTCCTCTTTTCCCTCTTTCTTCCTGCACTTCGTCTTTCAATTTTTCACCTTTTTCTTTTCTTATTTCTCCTCTTCCATTGCTATTTCATTCCCGATTTTACTCTTATCGTCCCAAACATTTTGATTTTCATGTTAATGCTCATGTTGATGATGACCCCAAATCGTTTCTCAAATTTGTTAGACAACAATCCAAATTAGGGTTTACTGATGTCGAAACCCCCCTTTCCCATTTCCACCATATGAAATCGATGCGACCTCTTCCATCTATCATTGATTTCTGTATGTTGTTGAGTGCCATTTCCACCTTAATTCGAGGTATGTTAACTTTGGGACAACAGAAAGAGGCTCAAGAAATGCTGACTGAGATGTTGAGGAACAACATAACTCCTGACATTCAGACCTACAGCATGTTGATTGATATGTATTGTAAAGATGGCAAGGTTGGTGAAGCACGGGACATTTTTGTTCACATGACTGAGAGAGGATTTGTTCCCGATATCATCACTTACAGTGCTCTGTTAGATGGATATTGTTTACGTGGTGAGATGGATGAGGCAGAAAAGCTTATGGATTTGATGGTTGAAAATGGTTGCAAACCTGATGTAGTTACTTACAGCAGCTTAATCAATGGCTATTGCAAGTCTAAAAAGATTGACAAAGCTCTTGGCCTGCTCCAAGAGATGCATTTTAACGGATTAGCCCCTAATGTTATCACGTACAGCACTCTTATAGATGCCTTGTGCAAAGACAATCAACTCAAGCTTGCACACCAGTTTTTCAAGGAAATGGAAGCTCATGGACTAAAGCCAGATGTAATAACTTGGAACTCATTACTTGACGGCATGTGTAGGAATGCACAAATAGATAAGGCAGTTGCAACAGTGAAGGAAATGGAGAGCACTGGAGTGGTCCCTAATATTATTACATACAGTATCCTAATGGATGGTTTTTGTGAAGCTAATCGCCTTAGAGAAGCGGTGGACATTTTCTCCTTTCTCACAGCTAAAGGGCTGCATGATGTGCGTGCTTACACCATAATGATAAAAGGGTTTTGTAAAGAAGGGTTGCTAGTAAAAGCCGATGAATTATTGAAGAATATGGAGGACAATGGATGCTTTCCAGATGAATGCACCTTTAATACAATTATTAGAGGATTTATAGATGGAAAGGACATTAGCAGAGCATTAGAGCTTGTCAGGTTGATGAGAATTAAAGAGTTTGCTGCTGATAATCACACTATATCATCATTTGTGGGCTTACTCACTGATCCAAATATCGATGATGCAGACAAGGATTTGCTGAAAAAGTTTTTGGAAAACTGAGCGAGCGATAATTAGGAAAAGTGGAAGGAGCAATGACTAAAACATACGTATATGATCAGCTGTGACAGAGATGTGTACACAGATATTGTGAGTGACTTGTGAATCAGTAAGTCAAATATTAAATTTGTAACTTTTGATTGATTGTAGGAAAAGGCATTAACATCTGTGATTTGGAACATTTGATTTACTTCTTTTTGGGCTTGCTTTTACTTGAATGGTGCTCATGGAAGCAGATGTGGATTGGCCTATTGTATTAATTTGCGTGTGTTTACTTGGTATCCTCCAGCGAGTTGCATTTGTTTTCTTATTATGCTTTGAATAATAATGGAGCCAGAGCTCAAGTTTAGCTATATCTTACTATCTAAGCCGTGATACAACCATGGCAGATGCTAGGTTCAAGAACAGGGGCATTTAAGGTCAATAACACCAGTCGTGTCTGAGCTCTCTGCATAATAACTACCCATTGAAGTCACTGTGTCATTGAAGATTTTTCTTCTTCAGGGCACTAGGAACTTGCTGAACCAATTTCATGTTTTGATCACATAGCATAGTTATAATTTCAAGATTATGTCCTTTTGACCTGGTCTTCTTTTGTTATTTTCTTTAATTTTTCCCATTCTGAAAAGAAGAAGAAAAGAAGCAAAAGGGGTAAAAAAAACCCTCAGGTTTAGAGGTCAATTTAAGCTGGTTAAGCTGCAATATAAAAGATACAGCCCGGTTTATAAGAACGTCGCCCATAATCTCATTGGAGCTCTAATAGGCTATTTAGCTAAGTCTGTAGAATTATGATATTCTTGTTCGCACACTTGATTTGTTTGCAGATTTTAGTTTGTTTATTTGCAAATTAGAATGTGTTTGGTCCTCTGATTTTTTTTCTCAGTATATTTTACTAGGCTTTCCTGCTGAGTTGTATTTTTGTAGCATGCTAGTTTGGACTGATTTTTTCTCATTTCTGTTTTGGTTTACAGCATAGAATTTATGTTTTGCAGTACTAAATATTAAATCTTGAGGCAGGCATGTTCTCATTCTCCTTTGGTCATGAGCACAACTGATTTTGAGAGGAAGATAGAAACGAAAGGCTATCCCCACAATGAGAATGGTTTTCAATATGGCAGCTGAGTTAGTAACTAATTAGACTGCACTAATTTATATCATCTGAAGCACTAATCGGCTTCTACGAAGAAGTATTGAAACACTAGTGTTGGTCGGTTCGGGTGTGAGGCTGAGAGTGAGCCAAACCAAACCAACCCAACAATATGTTAAATAAGGCTGCTGAAGCTCAACTTATAACATTCTGTAAACACCGAAAATACTACCAACTTGGTAACTATCTTGTTTAGAAGCTGAAATACAGTATAGTTTAGTTTTCCAACAAGACATGGACAAATCCAACCAAAGTTACGTAATGACTTGAACCGAAAACATGAACCTAATGAAGTAATCTTAAACAGTCTTAGTTAAGAATTTAAGATAGATAAAAGTATATCATACTCGGCTACTCCGTATTTCATAACCAAATACGCCCAAGGTTTAGTATCAATATTAGCTTTACTTGCTTTATTATTATAACCCATAAAGTTAGAAATTTAAAACTAACGAATAAATTTTATTTTTTTTTTACTACTGTACTCCGTAATTTCTTCAACACAAATATTATCAATAGTACAGAGTGAAAATTAGATGATACACCCGGGTGCACCATGCTCATAGTGCACCCGGGTAAACAAAAAAAGGCGGAAAGAACATATAGTGTTTGATAAAGAACATACCAATGTTTGGCAAAGGACATACCTTTAATATGTTCTTTGAGTGTGATCAGTGTGTTCTTTGAGTAAAATTATATGTTCTTTACATTATAACTTATGTTATTTAACATATGTTGATAAACATATATGTTTTTTTGGGTTTAATAATACAAAGTATGTTCTTTGAATTTGGCGTGTATGTTCTTTAAGGTCGTAGTGACGCCCAAATTCTATTTTTATTATCATATGTCATATTTAAATTACTTTTATTATCGTACATTCTTTGAGTTTGATTAGTGTGTTATTTAGGTATTAACTATATGTACTTTACAATATAAATTATGTTCTTTTAACATATGGTATTTTGAAATTTGATATTGAATCTTAAATTATTTTTAATTGAAAATAATATTAGAGTAAAAAAAAAACTAAGTTATTAAGGGAAGTTGAATTTTTTTTGGAGAGATAGAAAACTATTTTTTGGAAAAATGATATCTTTGGTAAGGATTTTTTAAGAGGTGATCAACATTGGCATGACTCGCATCCCGACCCGATCCGGCCCGAAATAGGGTGGGTTTGGGCAAACCTAAAAATGCATTTTTAGTTAAAACTCAAATCGGGTTAGAAAAAAGCCCGAAAACCCGCTACTTTTCTACGGGTTTGGGCACGATAAATTATGATATGGCCCGACCCTGCTAGATTTTTTATCACCTCTAAATTTTTTCCGTTAATAACGTGTAATTTTTCAGAAAATTTAATTAAGTTTTTATCTCGTTCTTTTAATTATATCTTTATGTTCTTTGGTAATGCATGTTTTTGTCAAATACAAACATATTCTTTATTAAATACATGTATGTTCTTTATGAAACACAGGATGTTCTTTCCGCCTTTTTTTATTTATCCGGGTGTATGATGAGCACTGTACACCCGTGTGTATAAACCACGGATTAGTACAGAGTATCACTCCTTTCATGTTTTATTTAAAGTGTTTCGCTTTGTCCGACACATAGTTTTAGGAAATTTAATCTACGTAAATAAAATAAAAGGTAAGTATTATAGTTGTATTATTAAAAAATTGTAAAAGAAAGAATGTGAGTTTAATAATTTATTGAAAAGTAATGAATGTGAGAGAAAATTAATAATGCGGAGTTATAATACAAAACAGTAATACGGAGTAGTGGTTTTGGGTGGGGAATGGGGATCATGAAATGAAAAAGACATAATATTAAGGAAAATTTAATAAGAATAACCAACATTTGCCTCATTCTCCCAAAATAACCTTAGGATTATTTCACAATAATCCAACCTTTATACCCCTTCTTCCCAAAATGAACCTAAATGACTAGTTACCTAAATAACTGGTCATCCCTTTCCCTCTCGTTCCTCCCACCATTTGCCATCATCTTCCTCCATTACCACCACCACCATTTGACTCCATTGTCACCAACAACACGGCAACATCACTCAACACACCATCCAGGCATCCACAACCACGACCAACACCACCATCTACAACCACCTCAACACACCAACATCACCACGACATCCACGACCAAACCACAACACAACCGCAAACATAAGACCACCCACAACATACGACACGCAAACAGCCGCAACTATCACCCGCAACACCAACTACCCACCTAGCCACCCACGACAATCAACAAGAAAACAACCCCTATCTATTCCAGCCCCATAATTGAAGACATATGCCCCAACTTTGCCTTAAATTTAATTGAGAGAGAAAGAAGAATAGGAAATAAGTTTTGATGGGGAGGTAAATAAGTGGAGTTTGATGAGGGAGGGGAAGGGGTGGCGGGAAGGTTCAGGGAGGTGAGGTTAGGGTTTCGGAGTCTGGGTATGTGGGGTTGGATGGTTTTGGGATATGGGTAGGGTGGGGCTCGTGGTCTCAGCTAGGTGCACGTGGGTTGGGTGGTTTCGAGTCTAGGTAGGAGTGGGGGAAAGGTTTTGGGTCTAGGTTTGGGTGGGAGTGGCGGAGGTGGTGGTGGCTCAAGTTCAGGTGGTTGGTGATGGTGGCTGAAATCGTGAAATGGAGTTGAAGAGAAAAGTAAATTAAAAAAAAAAAACAAAAAACCAATCATGAAGTGCCACGTAGCACATGTAATCGGTTGTATCGGTAGATGGGACGTTTTCCCAAACTAAGCTTCATTTGCAAAGTATTTTGCAAAATGGTTGCGTGGCAAAAGTATTTACCAAACTAAGCTTGTAGGGTCGGACAGCGTTTTATACCCTGTTTTTTTTTTTAAAAAAATTAATTTATAAAACGCTGTCTGGGACAGCGTTTTACATTTTGACTTTCTTTTTTAATTTCGTAATATGTAAAACGCTGTCCCAGACAGCGTTTTACTTATTGACATTTTTTTTTAGAAAAATAACAAAATTTTCACTAACTTTTTTTTTTTTTTTCTTTAAAAAAAAACATATACTCCACGTTCTCTATTGAAGCATACTCCATGTTCTCCATTGAAGCAGCAACCATTACAACATTCTCCATTGAAGCAACAACCATTACAACATTCTCCATTGAAGCATATTTTATTAATTTATGATTTTTTTTAAAAAAATAAATAAATCTTATTAAATCAACCTACTCAACTAATTGCAGAACCATAATCTCCTCTCCATCAGCTTTTCTAAAAGTCAACATGTAAAACGCTGACTGAGGCAGCGTTTTGTACATTGATTTTTTATTTTACCTTGGAAGCTTGGTTTGGTAAATAGTATGGTGATGAGTCTACTTTACAAAATAGTTTTGTAATTAGGCTTATTTTGGTAAATCGTCCCGTTAGATGACCTGCAAGGTGTGATATGGGAAGAAGGGGTATAAAGGTTGTATTAGAATAATCCAAAGGTTGGTTTATTTTGGGAGAATGAGACAAAAGTTGGATTATTCTTGTTAAGTTTTCCTAATATTAATGTACTCCGTATCTTTTTGCCAAAAAAATAAAAAAGAAGTAACACTTAAAAGTATATGGAGGAAGTATTTTCCATCATCTTTAGTTACAAAAACATTTTAATATTACCTTCGGTTTTTTAGTTGACACATTTTGATTATTTTAGCACTATTCACACACTTTTCTTTAACAATGTTTTGTGCTTTATACGTAATTAAATATTTAGGCATGTGAGATCTTGTTAGATTCATCACGATATATATTTTCAAAATATTAACTTTTCATGATTTTTAATATAGGTAATTAAATATATTAATTTTTGAATTTTTGCATTGGCAAACGTGTCTACAGAAATGTGTCAATTACAAAAAACGAGGAAGTAGGATATTAATTAAAATAATAAGTGGGGCCTACATGCAAAATTAGTAAAAGCATGTTGCTATCTATTAGAGAGGTTGTAGCCTAGGATACATGGATACTTCATCCAACTGCCGGACGCTCATTAGACACACAACGATAAGTCTCGGACCGTGTCCTAATATGATACGGTTTATTGTGCTTTTTGATATGCCACCTTATCTTTTCAATTTTTTTTATGAGAAAATTAAAGTAAAGTAAAATAGATAAGGTATAGTTAAATTCTTATATAAAAAAAAAGGTAATAGTTAAATAATAGGTGTGGCTTCATAAATAGTTCATTGTTATATGTGAACTGAAAGAGTATTATAATATTGTTAATATGATATAATGTGATCTAATGAGAGGGGTGAATGACAATATAAAAGTAGAGAGTAAAAAGATTTCAATTGGACAACTGACAAGTCCTTTATGTTGATAATCTTGTAATATATTTGAATTTATGATGAGCTAGCCCCACTTACTCATTTTGAGTAACAATATCTATTACTCAAATGACAAAATTGTAAATAATTGCTTCTTCCTTCCCATCATCACAGCCACCATAACCATCACCATCATCACTCAATTTTTTCGAAGAGGTAAATTTGGGCATTTGGCTACATCAACAAGGTAGATAACTCAATTTGTTTGATCTTAATTCCATAGTAATTTAGTTGTGAAATGGGATTTTTTTTATTTTTATTTTTTTTTAAATTTTCCAATTGCAAGTGTAATACGAAGTACATAGGACTACTGCAGGAGAAGCAATTATCTTTGCAATGGTTGTTGGGAGTAAGGGTATAAAGGACATTTGACACTTCAATCAGCTACCCTCTCTTTCAAAAAGCTGCTTTCTTTCAAATTAGTGGTTTGAAGGCCAAACTGCTCATTGAATCTACTCCTAACCAAACAGCAAAATCAGCTGATTGAATTGGTCTAACCGCTCTTATTTTATTTTTAATTTTTCCCAAAACGCTCTTAACCAAATGCAGCCATTATTATTAATTTATTATTGAAATTTCTTCATTCCTTTTTAATTTTGGCAGAGGCAGCACTAGCAGTAGCAGGTGTGAGAACTGAGAGTGAGACGATGATGAGGAACAAAGCTTTGCTTTCACTTGCTTCTGCTTCTTCGCCATTTTTAGGTTATCTTCTTCATCTTCCTTCTTTTTCCAGATGTTTTCATGCTGATGTTGATTTTGATTTTGATGACCCCAAATTGTTCCTTAAATTTGTTAGACAACAATCCAAATTAGGGTTTTCTGATGTTGAAACCCCCCTTTCTCTTTTCGATCATATGAAATTGATTCGCCCACTTCCTGGTATTATCGATTTCAATATTCTTTTTTCATCCATTTGTAAGATTAAACCCCACCCCCCTTTCTCCACTGTCATTTCTCTTTACAGGCAGCTCCTTTTCTTAGGTCTTCGTCCAAATATTTACTCCCTTACCATCCTTGCCAATTGCTACTGTCGTTTGAACTTTGTTGATTTGGGGTTCTCTGTTCTCGCCAACATTATTAAGCTTGGTTTTCAGCCTAATATTGTTACTTTTACTACTCTCATAAACGGCTTCATTCACTCTAATCAATTTGAGAAAGCCGTTCCATTGTTGGATAAAATTCTCAAGCTTGGCTTCCAACCTGATATGGTCACTTATGGTTCTTTGTTCAAAGGTCTCTGTAGTTCCGGTGATAATGCCGGTGCTCTCAAACTCCTTAGAAATATGGAGTCTTATGGCCATTTTATGCCTGATGTTGTCATTTATAGCACCATCATTGATAGTCTCTGTAAAGACCAGTTATTACCTCAGGCTCTCCGTCTTTTCAAGGAGATGAAAGTCAAGGGAATTTCCCCTAATGTTTTTACCTTAATTCGAGGTATGTGCACTTTGGGGCAACAGAAAGAGGCTCAAGAAATGCTGACTGAGATGTTGAGGAACAACATAACTCCTGATGTTAACACCTACAGCATGTTGATTGATATGTATTGTAAAGAAGGCAAGGTTGGTGAAGCACGGGACATTTTTGTTCACATGATTGAGAGAGGATTTGTTCCCAATATCATCACTTACAGTGCTCTGGTAGATGGATATTGTTTACGTGGTGAGATGGATGAGGCAGAAAAGCTTATGGATTTGATGGTTGAAAATGGTTGCAAACCTGATGTAGTTACTTACAGCAGCTTAATCAATGGCTATTGCAAGTCTAAAAAGATTGACAAAGCTCTTGGTCTGCTCCAAGAGATGCATTTTAACGGATTAGCCCCTGATGTTATCACGTACAGCACTCTTATAGATGCCTTGTGCAAAGACAATCAACTCAAGCTTGCACATCAATTTTTCAAGGAAATGGAAGCTCATGGACTAAAGCCAGATGTAATCACTTGGAACTCATTGCTTGATGGGATGTGTAAGAATGGACAAATAGATGAGGCGATTGCAACACTGAAGGAAATGGAGAGCAGTGGAGTGGCCCCTGATATTATTACATACAGAACCCTAATGGATGGTTTCTGTGAATCTAATCGCCTTAGAGAAGCGATGGACATCTTCTCCTTTCTCACAGCTAAAGGGCTGCATGATTTGCGTGCTTACACCATAATGATAAAAGGGTTTTGTAAAGAAGGGTTGCTAGCAAAAGCCGATGAATTATTGAAGAATATGGAGGACAATGGATGCTTTCCAGATGAATGCACCTTTAATACAATTATTAGAGGATTTATAGATGGAAAGGACATTAGCAGGGCATTAGAGCTTGTCAGGTTGATGAGAATTAAAGAGTTTGCTGCTGATAATCACACTATATCATCATTTGTGGGCTTACTCACTAATCCAAATATCGATGACGCAGACAAGGATTTGCTGAAAAAGTTTTTTGAGAACTGAGTGTGCGCTAGTTAGAAGCAAAGGTGGAAGGAGCAATGGATAAAGAATATATATGATCTGCTGTGACAGAGATGTGAAAACAAACATTGTGAGCGAATGTTGTGAGTTGGTAAGTACTCTGTAATATTTAACGTGTTTTTGATTGATTGTAGGTAAATACCTTAATTCTTGAAGCAAATGTGGATTTACCGGTAATTTTTGTATCCAACTGTTGTGATGGCAAAAAGATATTGAAGCTGTGATTGTATGTGGTTGCTGGAATCTAGTTGCTACTGTTCAGGCTGATTACTTGGTCAGCCAGGTTGGCTCTTGCTTTGGGGGAGCTGCAGAATATATGCATGGCTCAGGGCCATAATCTCTCCTTTGTTCAAAGGATCACTTACTAAAGAGTACTAGCTTACTAAGGCACTACTGAAAATCTTTGTCATAAATTAAATTTCTGCCTAATTTTAGAAGTGCTCTAGATCTAATTTACCGAAAAGGGTTCACTATAAGTATGACTCTAGATAAGAGGTTAAGCAGAAGTGCCAGGCACATTATCCTACACAGGTGCTTGTGATTCAACAATTTTTTTTTGGCCTAGATAAGAGGTTTACATGACCTGTTTGGGTGGCACTCTTTAGGCAACAAAATCAGTAACTATTGAGGATGTGGCGTTTTATCACTCATTAGTTAGCCCACCCTCTCCTGAATTGTGAATCAGACTTCAGAGGGCCTTGAGTTCAGCTGAAAGATGTATGACCAAATCAATTATAGAGGAAAGGGACCCAAATTGTTAAGAGCTTTTGGAAACGGACGAAATCGAAAAAGAGCTAGTATGTTATATAAACATATAATAGACCTCAACCCGAGTGTTAGGAACATGCAAGTAATGCAATCATGATGGCGAGTAAAGTACAAAAATAAACAGATTTTTTTTTTTTTTTTTTTTTTTTTCCTTTTAGTGGAGTAATAGTAGAGTAAGTTACAAAGTGTAACACAATTTTCCAGAGCTAATTAATTGCATTAAAACAAGGGAGCGAGAATTATCTGTCACAGACTCACAGGTTTTAGATGCGTTAAAAACGTAAAGACTTTTCAAAATTTAGTCGCAAATTATAATAATAATAAAAAAAAAATACAAGTACTTTAAACCAAATAAAATCAAAGCCATATATCTTGTTACAAATAAGAACCTTTTAGGTCCTTATTAAATATTCATAATCATTCAACTACAAATCAAATTTGTATCTAAATCCAATAATTAGAAAATAAACTCAATAAATAAATCAACGTGTTTTGTGTGCGGCTGGTTACATCATGTGGCCGCTTGTAAAAAAACAAAGTAGCCTCTATAATACTGACTAAGTAACTCGTGTAATACTGACCGAGTAATCCTATAACATTGTCCGAGTAACCCTTATAATAATGACATAATGACGAAGTAACCCACATGCATGCCACATGCATGTTAGCCACATGCATGTGGGACGCCAAAAAATAGAATTCACTCATTCACACTTCATCCCTTAGTAGGTTTTATATTATCTTAGAATCACATCACCAAACTTATGCAAAACTATTCCCCAACAAAACAATACTTAACCGTACATCACAGGGTCATTAAGGAATAGAATGATAAAATGCCTGCAAATTTGAGTTTGGTTACCCGTTAAGAATTTATTTTGGGTAAATGGTTATTTTTAATTTACATTGCACTTTTTCTTAACCCGAAATCATATCCATCATTTTTATTTTTTTGGTACCCACTAAGGCCCTGTTCACTTCACCTTAAAAAAAATAATATTCAGCAAAAATAATTTCAGTTCAGTAAAAATAATTTCAGTTCAGTAAAAATAAGTTCAGTTCAATAAAAATATTTTCAGTTCAATAAAAATAATTTAAGTTCAGTAAAAATCAGTAATTTTAAACAAGAATTATAATAGAAAATCAGTAAAAAAAACATGTTCAATAACCTAAAGAATCAAGTGTTAAAACTAAGGGTATATTAGGTATTTACAGTGTGAATAAAGATATTTTGTTTCCTTAAATGGATATGGTGCAATATTTGTGAAACTTCCATAAAAGACAAGTGGTGCAATAATTAAAAAAAAAAAAACAGAGAAAATAGTAATTCTCAAAAGTATCCTTAAAATACACGTGTCATCACCTCAAAAGTATCCATCACCACAAACAAATAGCTTGAACGGAGGATTTGAGGAAGAAGTTTAGGATGGGGGATTTGATACAAAAAAAAAAAAAAAAAAAAAATAAAAAAAAAATTAGGCCTAACTTTTGGGATTTGACATACACAAGGAAAAAAAATCATCGATTTGGCGACTCTTTAATTTGAATTATTAAAAAGCGTCTATACTATATATTAAAGTAATTACTGAGTAGGATACTTACTTAGCATAATTTTGTGAATAATTTTCCCTCAAAAATGCTACATATGGTATTTTTTTAAATTCAAAATATGAAATTATTTTAATAAAAACAAATTATATATCTAACACAAGAGTTTTAAGGGTAAACATTAAAATTCAAAATATGAAATTATTTTAATAAAAACAAATTATATACCTAACATCACAAGAGTTTTAAGGGTAAACATTAAAATTCAAAATATGAAATTATTTTAATAAAAACAAATTATATACCTAACACAAAAGTTTTAAGGGTAGACATTAAATAAATTCAACTTTCAAAAAATAAAAGATGTTATATAAGTCATTTCATTTAAAGTAACTTCATTTTAATTGACAATCATTATTTACAAACCTTATGATTATGATTCGTGCATTGCACGTGGGCAAAAACTAGTTATATACTGCTACAGTACATGTGTTGGGTTCGCAACAAAAAAATTTCTTCAAAAACATTTTCTCCTTGTTTTATGCTTTAAGAGAAAACAAGATAGTAAATGATTATGTTTTGAAAAATTTGTCACAAAGAACCTTATATGTCCACTATTTTGAAGGACGGCCTTATAAAAAAAAGGTGGCAATAAGGGACAAAAATGAGTTTTTATTTGTGAGGAGGGACCTTTACACAGAAAGTGGGATTTGACCCACCAACCTGGCACCCATCCCTTCCTCTACCAGGAAACTCCAGCGCTGACCACCCTAGCCCAACTCCTTTCTTGGTAGGATTCCCTTCCTCTTCCCTGAAACCCCCTCCCCTTTTCAAGGTAGCCTTCCCTACAGCCCCACCACCCTCTTTCCCCCCTCTGTTGTCGGCGCCGACCTCGGCTTCCAAGCTTCCCCACGCCGACGACCCTCCCCACTTTCCCCACCTTCTTTCCCTCTCTTTCCTCCTCTCATTTCTCTACTTTTGCGTGAAGATCGATCTTCGTTTTTGCAAATTTTGCACACATCCAATTTGCTTCTGAAACTTCTGAATTTACTCGGTCGAACCCAATTTCTTCACAAATTCATCCAATTCCATACCCTAAATTCATTAACTCATTCAGAAATTTGATTTCATCTCCTTTCTTTGCTTGATTATCTCATCCCTAAATTCTAACGTTAGGGTGGAGGAAATCGCTTGAAGATTTTTACAGTAATCGGGGTGGAGGAAAGGGAGTGGGGGTGGGGAAAGGGGAGGAGTGGGCTGCCATGAAAGGGGTGGGGGCTGCGGTGTTCGAGTCAGTGCCGACAATGGATGGGGAGAAGGGTGGCTGGGGCTGGTAAGGTTGTCGTGAAAGGGGAGGGGAAAGAGGGAGGTAGTGGGGGTGGAGGAAAGAGGTGGCTGCCGTGAAAGGGGTAGGGCTAATTAAGGTGGTTTTCGGGCACAGGTTCCTCCTCTCAAAAAAAAAAAAAATCCATTTTTGATCCCTCTTTCTTTTAAATGGTCCTTTCTCTCAAAATAGTGGATATATAAGGTTCTTTGTAACAAATTTTCCTTATTATTATTTTTTGGTAAAATTAGAAAATAATACCAGTAAAAAGCCACGATTTTGATTATAACACCACAAAAAAAAAAAAACTTTTATTATAACACCACCAAAAAAATCCAAAATTTTGATTTCACCACCACTTAACGGATTCTTGGATGGAATCCGTTAGTGGGGCCTCAGAAGACACGTGTCAAGTGTCTATTGGTTAAAATAAATAAATTAAAAAAAAGGAAAAAAAACCTAACCACTAACTAAGCAAGCCCCATCACCGCACCACCTGCCCAGCCACCGCTGTCGCCGGCATCCCCTGCCCTCACATAATCCGGCAAAACCAGCATGAACTCCACCATTTCCCCCCTCCCCGAAAACCACTCCAAGCCCTTCAAACCACCGGAAAAACCACCCAGCCTTTCAAACTTCTTCAGCCCCCCGCACAAACCGCCGCGAAATCCACCCCTTTCCCCAACCCTTGAAACGACAATTGAAATCGGCGGCCGAAATCGACCAATCAAGGGCTGCCATGGTCGATTTCGGCCGTTTTGAGGGTGAAAAGTAAAGGAGGGTCGTTGTTATCAGGGTTACCGGATTTTCGCTACGAGCTGGGTTATTTCGGGGTTGCGCCGTTGCGGCATCTCAGGTTGGGCTACGGTTACGGTTCTGGCTGAGTTCCGCGACGATGGTGGTGATACTGCTGTGGTAGGTGGTGGTGGCGTGATATTGCTGTGGTTCGGCGACGGTGGTGATAAGGGCGATGGAGTTATTGAGGGATAGGGCTGGTGGGGCGATGGAGTATGACGACGGCTTGGTTGGGCACGCGACAGTGAGGCTGGCCGGCGGTGGTGTGTAGGCAAGCCAGCGGTGGTGTTGGTGGCTGGGTTAGGGTTTAGGATTTAGGATTTTTTTTTTTAATTTCTTGTTTTTCTTAAACCAATAAACAACTAACACGTGTACATGGGGCCCCACTAATGGTGAAATCAAAATTTTAGATTTTTTTGTGGTGTTATAATAAAAGGTTTTTTTTTTTTTGGTGTTATAATCAAAATCGTGGCTTTTTACTGGTGTTATTTTCTAAGTTTACCTTATTTTTTTTTTAATTTTAAACGAATAAGATAAATGATTTTAAAAAAGTAAAGTGCCTTATGTCGTAATAACCCACCAACAAATAGCGGGGTAAATAGCGCAAATTTCAAAAGGCTTAAATATTGCGAAGAGTTTGATGTACTCCCTCCGTTCCTGAAAGTTCGATTCACTTTGCATTTGCGCGGTCTCTAATGAACATCTTTAACCATGGATATCTTCGGCTATGTATAAGTGAAAATTATAAAAAGTTGATATTCGAAAATTTTATAATAAGGGGAATCTAATAAGACCCCAGCCTCATACTAATTTATTTCTATTGTACTTCCTCCATTCTAGTAATATTGCAACAACTGAACTTTTGCACTATCCATTACGCTTGTTTGACTACATATTATGATTTATACGTAAAGTAAATATAGTCTTGTGGGGTCTTGTTAGATTCGTCTTGTAAAATACTTTCACAATATCAACATTTTAAAATTTTTACTCTTAAATAATTATGGATATTTAACATATAAAATGTGCTTTGGGATGCGTAATTTTATCTTTGTTGCAATATTTGTGGAAAAGAGGAAGTATAAATCATAATTTGTGGTTATTTTATTTTATTTTGACCAGATGAATAGTAAGTGAATCGAACTTTTAGGAACGGAGGTAGTATGAGAAGTGAGGCTTGGAGATGGGAATTGAAGAGATGAGATGTTTAATTTGTGGAAAGGGGATATTATACTAGTAGATGGGATTGAGAATAAAATGATCTATTTCCATGGTTGTATTACCTAATCAGTATTAATAGAGGTGAAATTAAAATAAATAGAAACGGCCAATTTGTCATTAATATTAAGGATACAATATTAGTAAGGGAGCTATATTTTGATATCTCTTTTCAATCAAGCAGATCTAATAAGTTCCATCATGTTCAATCATTTCTTACAAGTTACAATCAGATTCAATAAATTCAGATAAGTACTAAAAAGTTTAAATAAGTTCAGGTCTAATCAGGTGAAGAGAACATACCGTAAGAGTGCTATTTTTTTTTTTTTTATATATCTCATTAATTTCCATCACAAACCAAGTAAGGGATTATCAATCATAAAACTTAACCCAATTTCAACCATCTTGTCCTCAAACTCTTGTTCACATATTGACATATATCAAATGCTATATGTGAGTAATATATATAGTACAGAGTATATAGAATATAATCTTCAGATACGCTGTAAAATAAATGCGATTTATTTTGTTTTTTTGACGGGAAAATAGATGCAATCTTAAGACTCCATTATGGTTATTAGACAAGATAGCCTAATAGGTATATGGTTTCGTTCAAGGTTAAAAGATACTCCGTATTTATTGGACATGACTCTTAATGGACATGGAGTTTGCAGGACAAATTCAATACATAAGTATAATGTTTGCCCAATGTTGTTCAAAAAAATAATGTTTGCCCAATTATTATTTTCATTTATTTTATTTTTTTACATAAAATTAATACAAAACAAAAAATAAATATTGTAAAACTCTAAAATTTTCTCTGTTCTCTATCTTCAAACCTAGCCACCATAGTAAAATTTAGGGATTGCCATCGATTTTTATCGATGGTAAGCCCTAAATTCTTCTTTAATTTAATGTTTTTAGCCAATAAAGATCACCAACAGTATGGTGATTATAGTCAGTCCCTCCATGTAGGGTTTAGTCAGTTTCCTAATGGTGAGATGTTTAGTATTGTTTGTTTGTTTGTTTTTCATGTGTGTAGGGATACAACTTTGAAAGATTTGTCTTGCAAATTCGTGGAATTGCGGATATGTTGGTTTAGGGGTGCAGATTTAGAAGATTCGTCTTGCGTCTTGCAAATTTGCAGATCTTGATGACCAATCAAATTTTATCACTTTTGCGACTATACATCAATGGACCTCCGTCAAGAACGATGCAAAGACATCTAAAATTATTTAGGAGCAGTTCAGAAGCAATGCCATTAGTTTAGGGGTGATTAATTCTTATATTGATAATTTAAATCTCTTAAGGGATGATTGTAATTGCTGAATGACCATTATTATTTAATAATCACCCCTCCCTATTAAAGAAAACCTCTCCTCTCTCTAAAACCCTAGCCTCATTGTTGAATTTTGGAGGGGCTTTCATTGGTTTTTACCGACGAAAAGCCCCAATCGTAGTTTTTGTGTGCCTTTTCTCTCTTATTTTAGGTTTATAATAACTCTTCCTCTTCTAGGAGGAACATTTCTCCCTTGAAAGACAGGGTTTTTCTTCTTCTTTTGGAGGATTTGGCTCCTTCGAAAGACCGGGTTTTTCTTCTCTCTTTTGAGGGAGGATTTGCCTTTTTATTTTATGGATTGCTATAGAGTTGTTTCGTGGGTAAAATTTTGACTATGAGGTCTCGATCGGTTTTTGTTGGTCTTAATTTTTATTGAGGAATTCTCCAAAATTCAATACTCCTCCCGTTTCATAACAATGTTATTGTTTACATAAATCAATGCAAATGGCCAAATATTTGCAAATCTTTGATCGCAAATATCTTTAACCTCACACTAGCAAAAATTATAAAAGTTAGATATTAATAATGTACTCAACTAAACGAATCAAACTAGATCACATATGACTATGTTTGTTCTTATGAATTAAGATAAATTTAGAAGATTTCCTCCCATTTTAATAGTTAAAAGATTCCAAATGAGAACATCATTATGAAGGAAGGAGTATAATTCAAGTGAGATCCATTGATTCTACAATCACTGAGGTAGCTCCACCAAGTGAATGCCAAGTTGCTAACTACTCCCTTTGTTTCGGGGTATTTTAACCCCCTTTTATAGACAAATGAGAGGCCGACAAGTGGCCCAATTATAAGCCGACACGTGGCATCCTGCTCAACAAAAAGGCCAAACATGAGCATGACACGTGGCCTAAGAGAGAAATCAAATAATGAGAGGAATTTTAAAGGGGAAATGTTATGTATATGTAAATACATAACAATGATTAAAATATTCTAAAAACACATGGTAGAGAGAGAAAAGAGGAGAGAGATAGGAAGAGAGAGGTCTGTAGGTGGACCCCACCTATATTTTAGTCAGATTGTCTCACGTAATGGGAGCCCACATGCTGATTGTTCCACTGTAAATAATACCATTGAATCTTCAGTGGTACTATTTATGCATAAATTTAGTACAACTGAATGCATATATAATACCACTATATGCATATATAGTATCACCGTATGTTCAGTGGTATTATTTGATCATCCGATGATACCACTCTCGTATATATATGTAATTACATGAATGTCCCTTGTTATGCATTTCTACATGCATAACATTCCTCCATTAGTACTTGCTCAAATAATGAAGGGCTCAAAGCCCATTAAAGGATGAATACCTAGTATAAAGCAAACCCAAATACACGTGACAACCACGTATAGGGCAACCGATCTTCCTAGGCTATGAAACCCTAGGAGCATGATCTCCCACATCCCTATAAATACCCCATAATTCCATGATGGGAATAAGACTTCACAATTACCAAAGGTACAATGCCCAAATATGCTCTCACTTCTCTCTACTTTCTCTCTCTAAACTTCCGTTGTCGGTCACTAACTTAATCTTCGGAGGCGGATCTCCAATAAGCCAGAGATTCCTTGTTTTGCAAGTGTTCAGGCCGTACGGATGTTGCATGATTCGTTGTTTTGCAAGTGTTCAGGCTGTACGGATGTTGCATTCCGGATCTGTCTCCCGAGGGAATTCATACCCCCTTTCAGGTTATCCCAAAAATCCATGTAACACCCTATATCTTTTTTGTTTTGGCTCCATTGTATTTTTGAGGGGTCGAAGCAAGTTTAAAAATGTTTACCACAATTCCTCAATAATCTATATATATAATGTCGAGTGAGATTTTATTAATCGTGTTACCATGTGTACCAAAAAAAATAAAAATAAAAAAACAAAAAAAATAAAAAATAAAAAAATAACCGTTCTCTGTTCTCGCCAACATTATTAAACTTGGTTTTCAACCTAATATTGTCACCTTTACTACTCTCATCAATGGCTTCATTCACTCTAATCAATTTTCGAAAGCCGTTCCATTGTTGGATAAAATTCTCAAGCTTGGCCTCCAACCCACATTAGTCACCTATGGTTCTATCTTCAAAGGTCTCTGTAGGTCCGGTGATAATGCCGGTGCTCTCAAACTCCTTAGAAATATGGAGTCTTATGGCCATTTTATGCCTAATGTTGTCATTTACAACACCCTCATTGATAGTCTCTGTAAAGACAATTTATTACCTCAGGCTCTCCGCCTTTTCAAGGAGTTGAAAGTCAAGGGAATATCCCCTAATGTTGTCACCTATAATACCTTAATTCGAGGTATGTTAACTTTGGGACAACCGAAAGAGGCTCAAGAAATGCTGACTGAGATGTTGAGGAACAACATAACTCCTACCACTGAGACCTACAACATGTTGATTGATATGTATTGTAAAGATGGCAAGGTTGGTGAAGCACGAGACATTTTTGTCACCTTTACTACTCTCATTAATGGCTTTATTCACTCTAATCAATTCCACAAAGCTGTTCATTTGTTGGATAAAATTCTCAAGCTTGGCCTCCAACCCACATTAGTCACCTATGGTTCTATCTTCAAAGGTCTCTGTAGGTCCGTTGATAATGCCGATGCCCTCAAACTCCTTCGAAATATGGAGTCTTACGGCCATTGTATGCCTGGTGTTGTCATTTATAGCACCATCATTGATAGCTTCTGAAAAGACCAGTTATTACCTCAGGCTCTCCATCTTTTCAAGGAGATGAAAGTCAAGGGAATTTCCCCTAATGTTGTCACCTATAATACCTTAATTCGAGGTATGTGCACTTTGGGACAACAGAAAGAGGCTGAAGAAATGCTGACTTAGATGTTGGGGAACAAAATAACTCCTAACACTGAGACCTACAACACGTTGATTGATATGTATTGTAAAGAAGGCAAGGTTGGTGAAGCACTAGACATATTTGAATACATGGCTCAGATAGGTTTGGTTCCCAATATCATCACTTACAACACTTTGTTAGATGGATATTGTTTACGCAGTGAGATGGATGAGGCAGAAAAGCTTATGGATTTGATAGTTGAAAATGGTTGCAAACCTAATGTAGCTACTTACAACAACTTAATCAATGGCTATTGCAAGTCTAAAAAGATTGACAGAGCTCTTGGTCTGCTCCAAGTAATGCATTCTAACGGATTAGCCCCTAATGCTATCACATACAACACTCTTATAGATGCCTTGTGCAAAGTGAATCAGCTCAAGCTTGCACACAAGTTTTTCAAGGAAATGGAAGCTCATGGACTTTAGCCAAGTGTAATCCCTTAGAATTCATTGCTTGATGGCATGTGTAAGAATGGAAAATAGATGAGGCAATCGCAACAATGAAGCAAATGGAGATTACTGGAGTGGTCCCTAATTATGTTACATATTGTATCCTAATGGATGGTTTGTGTGATGCTCAACGCCTTAGCGAAGCGGTGGACATCTTCTCCTTACTCATAGCTAAAGAGCTGCAAGATGTTTATGCTTACAACATAATGATAAAAGGGTTTTGTAAAGAAGGGTTGCTAGCAAAAGCCGATGAATTATTGAAGAATATGGAGGACAATGGATGCTTTCCAGATGAATGCCCTTCAATACAATTATTAGAGGATTTATAGATGGAAAGGATGTTAGGAGAGCTTTAGAGCTTGTCAGCTTAATGAGAATTAAAGAGTTTGCTGCTGATAATCACACTATATTGTCATTTGTGAAGTTACTCACTGATCCAAATATCGGTGATGCAGACAAGGATTTGCTGAAAAAGTTTTTTGAGAACTGAGTGTGCGGTAGTTAGAAGCAAAGGTGGAAGGAGCTATGAGTAATGCATATGTGATCAGCTGTGAGCATGTGACAGAGCTGAGAAAACAGACCTCGCAAGTGAAAATTGTGTATTGGTAAGTCATATCTTTAATGTGTTTCAATCGATTGAAGGCAATAACCTTAATGCCTGTGATTTGGAGCATATGCATGTGATTACATTCAGTCTTCTTTACTTTTCTTTGCATAGGGGTCAATAATTATCCCATTTACATAATTATATACCTATGCTGTGTACAATGCAATTATTGTACACACGGGTCTATTAAGTTTGATCCATTCGCTGGAAATGTGTTAATTGAATTTCCTGAGGCTTGTTTTAGCTTTCTGTAGAATAACAAGTCATTGAAATCACTGTTATTTTAGTATAATTTTTCTTCGTCAGGGCACTAGGATGTAAGCTGAACTGAACTCACGTTTTAAGCCCAGAATCAGTTCATTTTAACATGCTGTCTTTTGTTAATTTCTTCTCTGTTTTTCCATTCTGGAGAAAAAGATAAGAATCAAAATGTGTGAAAAAAATTAGGTTTAGAGATCAATTGGAGCTGGTTAGGCTGCTATTTCAGATTGGTCCAACCAGCCTGATTCACTTTTCATACAAAACAAATCTAGACGTGAAAACACAAAATTGATACAATAAGAATGAACACCAGCAAAGTTTATTTTACAACATGTTGCCCAATCTCATTGGAGCTCTATGTGTAGCTAAGCCTGTAGTAATAGCCACAAGTTTTGAGTTCGGAACAGAAAACACATGCTTAGCCAGGGGATAAAAGATATTAAGCAACTGAGATACTGTCCATACTGATGTAATGTGCAACAAGCCGGAAAATAAAATAATGGTTTCATTGAAGCTTTTGCTCCTTTTTAGGGACACTTGCATCTTGCTGAACTGAAACCATGAACATAGTTGCAGCTTTGGTCATATAAAGTTAAAAAAGGATATTAGCTTCCTGGTAACCTTGAAGGAGTGATATTTTAGTGTATTCCTCCTCTGTCAAATCATTTCTACCTTCGACATCAAAGTCACCATCAAGAACATCAATCTTAATCTTCAGAGAAGATTCAGGGCCAAAATAAACTCTGTTGTCAGACTCATCAAGCAACTCCACTTCAAGCTTAACGTCTTGATCTTCTATTTTGGTCATGGTAAAGAGTGTAGCAGGTAAATTACCCTTAAACTGCAATTTCAAGTACCTTGATGCAGATGGCTTAGCCTGTTGAGGCAACGTTAACTGTTATAAGTTGTAGGTGGATCATAAAGAATTTAGAATTCGTTCATGACCGTAAATTCTTGCACCAAGCCTTACTCCAAAAGTCAGGTATATAAAGCAAATGTGGATTAACCTGTAAAATTTGTATCCAATTGATGCGCTTGCTTTCCATCTGCTAGTCAGTTGCATTTATTTTCTGATAACTTCCTTTGAATATTATCAGTACTAGAGCTCAAGTTTAGCTGTATCTAAGCCATGGCACAAATACAAGAACATGACATTAAAGATCGATAACACCAGTTGTGTTTACTTTGCAAAGGAGTCAATCTGACCATTGTACGTAATTACACTTGTTGGCTTGTTGCACGCATCTACTTGGTTTAATCCATTACTTGAGATGCGTTAATTGTATTTCATGAGGCATGTTTCAGCTTTCTGCAAAATAACTAGTCATTGAAATTGTTGTGTCATTGAAGATTTTGCTTCTTCAAGGTACTAGGAACTTGCTGAATTAAATTCATGTTTGGATCTGATCACATAGCATAGTTATAAGTTCGAAATCATGTCATTTTCACCTGATGTTCTTTTGTTATTTTTCCTCTTTTCCCATTTTGAAAAAAAAAAGAAAAGAATGAAGCAAAAGGGGTTAAAAAAAAGTCTGTAGAATTGTGATATGCTTGTTCGCAGACTTTACTTGTTTGCTGTTTGTTTATTTGAAAATTAGAATATGATTGGATATACAACTGCCATGTAAAATGAGGCATATATATATATATATATATATATATATATATATATATATATATATATATATATATATATATATATATATATATATATATATATATATATATATATATATATATATATATATATATATATATATATATATATATATATATATATATATATATATACGGGGAGGTTCCGCTGAAAACAGAGCTTATGGTGAAAACTAAAAACAAGCAATCTTAGCCATTGAATGTTCACTAGATCATCTGATGGTGTGAAACAACCTAGAGGTCACTATATACAAAAATAAGGTCATTATATCAAGTTATATTAATTTTGATGACACTTACACCGAGGTCACTATATATAGAAATAAGGTAACTATATCAATTTTTACAATATTTACTTTGAGATCACTATATACAAAAATAGGGTAATTATATCAATTTTGACTACATTTACATAAAGGTCACTATATGCAAAAATAAGGTAACTACATCAATTTACAGAGGCCACATTTATATAGAGGCCACTATATATAAAAATAACGAAGGTCACTATATATAAAAATTAGGTAATTATATCAATTTTGACAACATTGACCACATTGATATAGAAGTCACTATTTACAAAAATAAGGTAACTATCATCAGATAACTTCTCTTTCTCCTCCTTGTCATCAGATAACTTCTCCTGCTCCTCCTTGTCATCCTACTGCTCCTTATCATAAGATAACTTCCTGCTCATTAAAATTTACACTAAGAAAATAATTAGCTATTATTAATTTTGACTAAATCACACTATGAACTGCCAAAAATCAATTAACAACTAGAGCAATCAATGTGAGTAATCAATTAACTAAAATTGATCCAATGCGACAAACTTTAGATTAAACTTTAGATCCACCTGCTGCCTATATATAGATGCATGGTACTGAATGATGAGCTTCTCTTCTTGTTCTGTGAATTCTTCATGCTTAAGGTCAGGCCTCAGGTAGTTAGTACACCTAAGCCTGTAACTCTTACCACGTCTATTAAGTCCTATAAAAACAACTAATTCATTAATATGCATAAACCCTTGATAATTAGTAAAAGAGAACAACAAAAACCTAAGCAAAACAAAGCATATTATTTAGATCTTAAAACACAGCATGAGCTGATAATGACATATAACGACATTAGCCATTTACTGCATAACACAGGGTGTTGTTACTCACAGTAAGATTTTTACTCGCCTCTATCATGTACCCCTCTCACAGCTCCTAAGGGGAACTGTTGGAATCACAATAAATTAATGTTGATTAAATCACTTTTCATAATATGGTGATCCCATAAACATGGTGATTCTATAAACAAACTGAACAAGAGAATTTTGGATCCAATCTTAAATCAATCTACTGTAATACCAAACTATGTACAGTAAATCAACTCACTTCAATTAATTGCCACAACATCACCAAAGGGTTAAAAAAAACAACACTCTAATTAAGCGCGAGTTTGTAATTATCAACCAAATTTACAAAATCAACATTAACAAATCATACATTTTCTGACCTAAATCAAACATTTAGAATTTCTAAAAAAATAGTCATCACTGAAACTCAAATCTCTCATATACAGAGACAAATCAACATTAAAACAATCAAAACTCTAGATTAAAAAATCAAAGATCTAAAAATCGAAAAACAAATCAATGATTCAGACAAAAAAAAATCATTAATTTCAATTGAACAAAAGTAAAATCCAAAAACAAAACAATTGGACAATAATTCATCACTTAATTAAACAAACAGAACCTCATATATGAAGAAATTATAGTAATTAAACAAATTATAGAACAAATTGTTGTAATTACAGTGTCAGAGGAGAGAGAAAGCGAAAGAGAGAGAATACCAAAGAGAAGATGAGCTGCGAGAGTGGCCATGGTGAAGGAGGCGAGAAGGACGAGGAGCGAGAAAGCGAAGAAGCGGAGGACGAAGACGTCGACGATGGAGGTAACAGCGGGAAGAAATCGGTGAGAAAGGCGGCTGATGCTGGTGTTGCTGTGGTAGAGGTGGTGGTGGCGCCGCCGTTGATTCGCCATGGGCGCCAGAAAAAAGCTTCAACAACACTGAAAAAATCATGAAAGCTATAGATCTTCTTCTACTTAGATCTCTGTCTCATCTTTCGGCGCTTCCTCTTCAATCTCCTCATACGCTTCTTCTTCCACTGCAAAAATCAATCAAATCAACAAGTTGAACTTCAAATTAGTTAACAATGGTGGAAAAACTCGACTGAACCGAACAAATCAATGAAATTAAGGAAAAAACTAAAATTAATCGATTAGTAAAACAGGAAATCGAACTAAATTGAACAAAATCGAACAGAAAATCGCAAAATCAAACAAAATCGAACAAAATTGATGAAAATTTCAGAAACCTTAAAACCTCAAATCATGCAAAATATAGCGAAATTAACACAAAGAACTCACCTGATAATAGATCGTAGAGCTGAAAAATTGCTGAAAATCAAAGTAATTGAAGCTGAATTTGAAAAAAGTAGCGTGAAAATTGGGGAAAAAAATGTCGAGAAATTAGGAGAGAGAAAGTAAGAGAGTGGAGGAAGAAGAAAATAACGGAGGAGAGAGAAATTGTTTTCGTGGGAGGAGAGAGAAAATTAGTATATAAACGTTAGACGTCATCCGCTAGATTATAATCTACGGTTAGGATGAATCGTTTTCAGTTTTCACCCTAACATTTGTTTTCACATGATCCATACTCTGTATATATATATATAAGGAAATTAAGGAAAACATTAAGAACCCCTCCTCTCGAGGAGAATTATATCCATATATATTACTAGGCTTTCTTACTGAACTGTATTTGTATAGCATGCTAATTTGGACTGATTGTTTTTCATTTGTGTTTTGGTTTACAGCATAGAATTTCTGTTTTGTAGTACTAAATATTAAATCTTGAGGCATGTTCTCATTATCCTTGGGTATAGACTTGTAAGAGGTGCAAGAAGGTCATGAGCACAGCTAATTTTGAGAGGAAGAAAGAAACAAAAGGGTATCCCCACAATCAGACTGGTTTTCGACATGGCAGCTGAGTTAGTAATCAGATTGCACTGCTTTTTAGTCATCTGAAAGGTTTATGCTTGAATGGAATAACAGTCCCATTGACTAGATTATGTAACAAATCGGCACTGAGAAGAAGTATTAATACACTAGTTTTCAGCCCCGGCCCTGGGCATAGGCAAGAGGTGCGACGGCCTTAGGGCCCAGGGCTGGTAGGGGGCCATAAATCTCAGCGCATATTTTTCTATAATAAAATAAATCAACACAAATACAGCATAAAACTTAATTGTATCCAGCGGAGTGAAGCGGGTTAGACTCAAGAGTGCTACCTTCAAAGAAGGTGCAAGGATCGACTCCCCTAACTAACTTTTTTTTACTTTTTGCATTGGCAACTTCTCCCATGTCATTTCCTTACTTAATTTTGTGGTGACCTTTATGTACCTTGTTTTTTCTTTTTTTTCATGATATTTTCTTATACTTTTCTGTAAATGGTATTGACCTTTTTATTAGTTTATTTCTTATATTAAAAAGAACACTTTTTTTAGTTTGCATTTTTCCACCAAAAAAAAAAAATAATCAGTTGTGAGATTATAGCTATGAAGTAGTAATTATACTAACATTTTCCCCCTTTTTTTTTCCCGACAACAAACTAACTACTAGTTTGTGAAATTGAATTAAACGTATAAATATTACTCCCTTGTTTTTTAATAAGTGATCCATTAGTATTTTTGCACTATTCATTTGCTCACTTTGACTAATGTTTGTGATTCATATATAAGGTAAAATTTAGTCTTGTGTGTAATTGTTGAATTGTCTTAATGAATAAATTATTAATTTTCAATTTTTATAATTTATACTTATTGATAATTAAATATATCATGATCAAAGATTTGTATCAATCGGTATATATGGCCAAGAGAAATAGAGCAATTATTAAAAAAAGGAATTTTTAACATCAGAAGACAAACCTTTGGCCGGTTCTCCCATATTGGACAAACATATAAATCTACCCATATTGGACAGAAGTTTGCATTTTTTTCTCCCAAAATGGACCAAGCAGGTCACCCTACCTGTTATACTAGGTAAAAATCCACTTGTCATAAAATCATTGGTCAAGTTTTTTTTTTTTTTTTTTTTTTTTTTTTTTTTTTAATTTTAAAATTTTGATAATTTTTTTTAAACAACATTTTTTTTTTCCTACCTCCTTCCTTTCTCTTTCCTCTATCCTTCCTCCTCCTCCATAACTTCCAGCAGCCCACCCAGACATCCCACCCCCCTCTGACCACCCCTGCCCTTCTCTTTCCTCTTTCCTTTCTCTTTCCTCTTCCCTTCCACCACCATAAATTCCAGCAACAAGTAACCAAATCCGGCAGCCCCCAAACCCTGTTGAAACCCCAACCTCTAAAACCCGAAACCCCCTGAAACACCCAACCTTGAACCCGAACCCCCCCGAAACACCCACCCTTGAACCCTACACCCTTCGAAACCCTCACCAAAGAAACTGATACACCTCGAAACCCCCGCCATTGAAGCCAATACATCTTGAAACCCCCACCATTAATGCCGGTACACCCCGAAACCCCCACCTTTTCGAAGCTTTCTCCTGGACTCCGCATCGTCGGCGGCAGGCGAAATCGGTAAATTTTTCCCTAAATTCTAGGGTTTGTGATTGAAGTATATATATATATGTGTGTGTGTGTTTTTGTGTGTGTGCGTGTTTTAATGATTGATTTGATTATACAGGGAGAAAGGAGCAGCAATGATCAAGAATCTCGGGGAAAAATCTGAGTTTGTTGAGGTTGATATTAATAATGTGGAAAAAATAAAGGCTGCTTTACAAGGTGGTTTAGGGTTCGAGGGTGGGGTCGCCGGCGCCAGGGGTGGGTTGGGCGCCGGCCGTCGTCAGACGGAGGGAGGAGGGGTGGCTGGCAGTGGATTGGGGGTTTGAGTTTTTTTTTTTTTTTTTTTTTTTTTTTTTTTTTTTTTAACTTCCCAACCGGTTACCTATAAACTCAGTCCATTATGGGCGAAAAATGGTAAACTTCTGTCCAATATGGGCAGATTTATAGGTTTGTTCAATATGGGAGAACCGGCCAAAGGTTTGTCTGTTTATGTTAAAAAATCCTTAAAAAATGGAGAAACTATTATACTAAAAGTGCTAACATGTTATTATAAGGACCCTAATTTCTTACTTTGCCTAGGGCCCATAAAATGTCAAGAACGGGCCTGCTAGTTTTGGCCTGGTGTGAGGCAGAACCAAAGCAAACCAACCCAACAATGTTAAAGATAATGCACATAATGTTGCTCAAGTTAGACTATCTCCAATGGCCTGGTGAGACTTTAGGGAGTTTTTTTAGAAGAGAGAGATTAATTTTTACAAAGTATACCAATAAGTTGGTATCTAAACTTAGCAACTCCAAAAGAAAGTTGCTAAGTTTAGATACCCAACTTTGAGTCTCATTTGACAAAAAGTGTGGGCCCTCATCAATATTATAATATATTTTGTAATTCATTTAAGTTTTGAATTTTTTTTTTTTTTTTTTTTTTTTTTTTTTTTTTTTTGAAAAACTTACAATTAGTATACTTTAGAGAGTCTCACCCTTGGGAAATTAGATTTCACATGAGTTGCTAAATTGAAAAGTGGATTGGGTATCACTATTGGAGGTAAAAAAAAACTCATTTTGTATTTCAATACTCAAAGTTCAGTCTCACCAATGGAAATGGTCTTATAACATTTAGTATTCCTCGGAAAAAAAAAATAAAAAAAAAAATAAAGTTATAACATTCAGTAAACACCAAAAAACCTACCAAACACCAATATATTTCAACATGCATGGTAAAATATCTTGTTTAGAAGCTAAAATACAGTATAGTTTAGTTTTCCAACAAGACATGGACAAATCCAATTCAACCAAAGTTACGTAATGACTTGAATCGAAAACATAGAACCTAATGAAGTATACTTAAACAGCCTCAGTTAAGAATTTAAGATAGATAAAAGTGTATCCTACTCGGCTACTCCGTATTTCTTCATAACCAAATACGTCCAAGGTTTAGCAATATTTGCTTTATAATTATAACCCATACAAGTTAGAAATTTAAAACTAACGATTAATAAATTTTATTTTATTTTTTACTTTTTTTTACTACGGTACTCCGTAATTTCTTCAACACAAATATTATCAATATTACAGAGTGATATTCCTTTCATGTTTTTTTTTAAAAGTATTTTACTTTAACCGGCACATAGTTTTAAGATATTTAATTGACGTAAATAAAATAAAAGATAAGTATAGTAGTTGTAATATTAAAAAATTATAAAAGAAAGAATGTAAGGTTAATAGTTTATTGAAAAATAATGAATGTATTTCAACTTGGTAACTATCTTGTTTAGAAGCTGAAATACAGTATAGTTTAGTTTTCCAACAAGGCATGGACAAAACCCACCAAAGATGAAGGATTGAAGGGAATGGGATTGTAACTTATTGAGTGAATAATTGTGCCTAAGTGGGACTCAAAGTCTCAAACAGTTGGAAAATGGGGGTATTATAAGAAAAAAAGATGGTGCATAATGTCAAAGTTTTCCCTTCACTAGTATTTTGTGCACGCAATGCATGTAAACCATAAAACCGAAATACAGATGATTTTACAGTAGTCGTATGAACCATAAACTTAATTATATGGCAAGACCGTAGGATGTGATTGGATGTAGTTACCCATGTCATCTTTGACTTTTTAAATAATTAAAATTTATTTTTAATTATAATTTCTTAAATGCATTGTTTTCAAACATTAAATATACTAATTTCTAAAATATATTTTTTGATTTCATAATAATTTCAGAAAATCAAAATTAAATAAAAAAATTCAAAATAAAAAATTGAGATTATGGGGTGGTTTGGCCCATTGAAATGGACCAGTTCGAGTTTGATATGGACAACCAAATTTCAACCTAGATTGTAAAAATAATCCAAATTCAATTTAAAACCATTAATTTAGTCCGGTCACATTTTACTAGGCTTAATGTACGTCTTCGATCCAAACATCCATAACTTACTCATAAACTTACAATTTTTTTAATAGACCTAATTATTAGATAGGATAGCCCGATGATTATAGAGATTGAACCAAGGATTTTATTGAACATAGTCTATTGGATATAGTGGTACATAACTAAAATGTAGTCCAATTAAATAGAAAAACAAAATAAAAAATGTAAAAATAATTACATTAATAATCTCTTATTCACTTGTGCTTATGGAGTACTTTTTTCTCACCTCCATTCTTTTTCATTGCTCATTTCTTAGCTTGTCATTAACGACTCGCTATTGACTTGTGATCCACATTGGCTTGATCCACGAAATCCCAATCAAATATGACCCTCTTTAGATCCCATCCACTATCAATCCCACACCAACTCTAACCTGATTTGGCTAATAACTAGGTCAATTAATGACGATGCCAAATGCAGGTAAATTTTACTACCACTGTTTCACATTAAATGTATCATTTTGACTTTTTTTATTTAATTTTTTTTGTTAGATTACAACTTTAACCATTAGTAAAATATATGTACAGTAAAATATATGTACAGAGAGTATTTTAAAATTATACATTCAAACCAAACCAACAAACATATTTACCTTTAGTTTATAATTCTTATTTATAAGTAAAACCTTAGTTAAATTATCATAAATCAACAATATTTGTAAGCAAATGAAAAACGCAAAAGATCAAAACAGTGTATCTATTGTAAAACAGAGGTAATATTTGGTTTTTCAATAATTGCACGTGCCTTAATCTAAGCATTTTGAGGCCCCACCAATCCACCATGCATGATGCATGAAATAGGAACTCAAAACCCGTCAAAAAAAAAAAAAAAAAAATAGAACTCAAAAATCATAAAATGTGCTAATCCCATCAAAAAAATTGAGTTCAATGAACTAATAATGTGCACTTTGCGATTTGATCCATCATCAATACAAATCTAAGATGGGCCCCACCCATGATTGATAAAGCGTGATCCATTTTATTCAATATTCAATTCCACGGTATCCTCTAGAAGGATCCACGTATTCTACTCGGGTCAAGTGAACTTAAAGGTGGGTGGAATTTTGTGGAGGTTATATCTCCATTTTTGTTTCCAAACCTCGATTCTAAGGTTATATCTCCATTTTCTTCCTCATTTAGTTAATCAAATGCTACTTATGCTTTGTTCTACTTAACTTATTTTAATAAATTTTAGCTAATAAAAACTATAAGTTCCTTAAAATTAAGGTGAGTTATATAACAGTGATGACAAAAAATCATGCATGTTAAGTAAAGTTCAACAAATGTTAAATCTGTATGTGTAGTTAACTTCGACAAGATTGCAAAGAAGGAATTGAAAACAAATCTTTAGTTTTTAATAAATACCCCATTCGATATAAATTGGCTCATTTTGACTTGACACACTTACGTCATAACAAACTTTGACCAATAATATATAATTGATCTTCAATAAGTATGGATTATAAATGTTAATATTTGAGAACAATAATACATTAAGACAATTTCAATAAACATCCACATGACTATGTTTTATGATCAAAATAGAGCATCTAATAATCCAAAGATCAAATCAAGACACTTTAAAAAAAACCAAAGAAAATATAAGACATTATTTAATAGTCGATATAGTATTTTTATTTTTTTTTATTTTTATTATTATTAGCTAGCTAGAGACCACAAAAATCAATTGAAGCGATTTCATTTCATCCATAACCATGCAATATAATCATAATCCATTTCTTATTTGGATTGGAAAATTTTATTTCTCTTTTTAGGGAGAAAGGATGTTGCTTTAGAGGGGAAAAACTAAAGATGGGACCAAAAAAATGTCATATTTCCACTAAAACTAACAAATGAAAATGACATGCGGAATCTAAGTCCAACTTTGTACATGATTTAGAAAGGGAAAGTGACCAATCAAGCACATAACATCTACTCATTCCCTCAAAAACAAAAAAACAAAAATAAAAATAAAAGGTTCCCTAAATTCCATCATTATTACAAATAGACGTTATTATATAACATCATATAAATGATTGGGAGACTGTAGATTAGATTTTATTTCAAACTATCAAAAATCACTTTAATTTAATTTAATTTGTAAGCATGTCATTTTCATTATAGTTTATGCGCCTATCTATATCTTTCATCTTTCTTCTTTGTTGGAGTTGCCGACTTTTTCCTCTTTGTCACACTCAAACCTAGTGTGAAAATGAATATTGAATAATGTCCTACTTATAAAAGTGTTTGCACGTCCAAGATTTGCAAATAAATACACTAATTAAGGTTATCATATTTTATGAGGACTACTTATATTTTTATTAGCACGCACGAACTTCTTTTATTAGTGATATTCTTTTTATGCAAAGATTAGATTAGCTTAGTGTCATTTCGCGTATTGTTCTATTTCTTCTTTTGTGCTTTCCACAAAGATCATACGTCATGGATGCTGTTGTAGACTTGTAGTATGATCTTCACCACAAAGTCATTATAGCAAATATGTAGTCGATTACAAAAACTCATATTATAAGAGGTAAATTGAACTAGATTAGCTCGTTTATATAGATCATTGCTCCATCTAAAATATAATTGTTTGATTCATAGATGAGATATGACTTATATACTTTCATTTGCTGGGATCACTGACCACGATGATAAAGATTTCACAAAATATGCAGGTATATTTGAGTTATCTTAATGAGTAAGGTTACGTGGCTAGCTATTTGGATGTAAATGTGACTTAAGTACCAACTTTATGCCAATTATCTCAACTCAAATCGAGCTTATTTTA